TTTTTTTTTTTTTTTTTTTTTTTTTTTTTTTTTTGCAACTGAAGCAGGTCAGGTGATGATCGAAGGGACTGCGAGGCCGTAGATGCAGTCAAGTATGAACAGTTTATAGGGTTGTTTTGACATCGTTCTAACTGCAGCTACTTTGGTGCCAGATAGGTCTATAAGCTTAAATTATTATTATTATTGTCATTATTATTATAGTAATATATATATATTTTTTTTTTTTTGGAAAAGGGTTTTTTTTGTTTTGTATCTCGTAAGTCAACAGCCTTTTTTTTTCCTTGTCAATTTTTACTTTCATTTTTTTTGTGCTACGGCTTTGACTGCTTTGTTACAACTGTTTCATCTGTTATTGGTCTCCTTCAAGTCTTCAGAAAAAGAAAGAAAGAATGTTTTTGTTTCCGTAATTCAGTTGTGTAGTATTTTATGTATTTTCTGGTTTACGGTTGTTTTGTTCCTGAAATTCCTTTACGTCTTGTTTTGTATTGTTTTTTTTGACTGTCAGAATCAGTGAGGATTTTAAAAGTTTACGTTGTTCAACAGAACAAATAAATTTTCGGTTTTCCAACAATATTGTTGTATTACTGTACACCAAAGTAATTGGGATGCGTGGATAAATTTTATGAACAGATGGTTTTTGTTGGTTTGTTGCTACAGAGTAACCCGTCATACAGACGGCAAAGTTTGTGGTTGTTGTCGTTGTTGGGTATAATGGTATTGGTAACGTAACGGTATTTTTGTGTTGGGAAATGATTCATCGAAGCAAGAGTCGTTGTTCTTATAGTCCTATTGTGGCTCTGTGGTTCAGGGGATTATATGTTGTAAGTGTAGTAACCGTATATTTGGAGAACGATTTGAGATTGGCAGGTTTTGTGCTATTGATGTCCGTAATCAGATCGTTTGTGTTGCGAATGTAATTGGCATTTGTTTTCAGCTGCGACTTTAAAACCATCATTTGGGATTGTTTTGGTGAGGCGGGAGAGTGGGGATCAGATGCAGCAGCCGGCCAAATGCTTTGAGAGTCATGTAATCGGTTATTGGTGATCAAAAATTCTTTGCAGTTTATCACTGAAATTAGTAACAGCAACACTGGAAGAGCTATGAAAGTGAAGGTGTATTGCAGCATCAAAGGACTGTTGGTGGGTGAAGAGCAGTTGTTTGCATCAAAAGAAAAACAAAAACGAAGGAACGAAACATTGAAAAAGAAGTAAGAAGGTTCTTTTTGAAATGAGCAAAAAGTGGAGTTTGGTATTTGGCAGTTGATCGAATAAGAAACGGTTTTGAATTATACACGGAGGATATATTTGTTTATAATCTGTATTATTTTTGGTAAGGTGAGTTGTCTGTCATATGACGTGAACCGCAATGGCTGTTGGAAATGTAGATAATGCAAGGGCAAAAATTTTTGTTTTAATGGTTTACAGCGTTTATTATCATTGTATATTTATTATCAGGATGTTACGTGTTGCATATTTGAGTGCAGATTACTTCAAAATTCCAAAACATAAACAAATAACATTGATTGCTAATGTTAAATTAAACTTTTTGAGGTTTATGTTAAACAAATAAAGTTATACGCTGATGACGGTGATGGAAAATGGACTCAAAAAAAAAAAAAGATTTAAAAAAAAAACTCGAAATTCTATAACATAAATTTATCATCAGTACGGTTTAGTGTTTGCAAACTGAAAAAACACTGATTTATGTGATATATCGCGAAAGGCAATTGCTACTAACCGACAGCCGGTGTTTTGCGGTTCATTAGAATGTGCGCAAACAAAAAATGACGATTGGGATGTATTGTGTTAAATTGAAAGAAAAAAATATTTTTTTTTGGCTGGAATTTTTTACATTGATTAAGTGATGTTCTAATTTTTTGTTGGGTATATAAAGGAAAGAAAATGATGAAGTATGATAGAAACATAGAAATAAATAAATAAGAAAAGAAGAACATTAAAAAGATACTCGGATCACCAGGAAATGAATAAATAAGAAAAGAAAAACATTAAAAAGATTTTCGGATCACGTGGTCACTAGTGGTGGCAATTTTTTTTTGCTTTAAAGCACTAGACAACCGGATAATTTTACTTTGCTTAACATTGTGTTGACTGAAGGTAATATTATAAGCACTTTAAAAAAAAGGGAATTTTCAATAGTTTTCTTTCTTAACATTTATACATGCATATATATATTCTTTGCTTAACATCTGTCTTGCCTGCTCTTATAAAATCAACAACTGAATTTGGGACTACACATAAATAGAGGGAGATGAGGAAGGGAGAGGGGCAAGAGAATACAAAAAAAAAAAAGAATTCAATCTATCCTTCACTCCTTCACTTTCATCGTCAATTGTGTTCACATAGAAGCGGCTTTAGTGGGACGAAAAAAAAGGGAAACGAAGAAGTGACAAAAAAGTGAATAATTTTTATCGTCAAATTTATTTTTTTTGATTTTATAGTTTTTGTTGAATTTTTTTGGGATATTTTTTTAATTTTTTATATTTTCGCAGTTTTCTTTTTCAGTTCTCTTCAATTATGAACGAAGTTAATTATTGGTAACAGATAATTTCCTAAGCTTTGGTTTTTTTGGCTATTGCTGTTATTTTTTGCTGTTGAATTTTCGGGC